GGAAGAATACTTGACCGCATCCAGCGTAGCGTCAGCTGAAAACTGAGTGGCCGCCATCAGCTTCTTGATGTCTTGCATTAGTCGCATGTCCGAAGTGGGGGTTCGATCACAAAGCTGTTCCAGCCAAAGCAGAGTGGACCTGTTGAAAAACAAAGCAGCAGCAGCAGCAACGGCCCTGATTGCCCACATTGCGGCCTGAAAGGTCTTGTGCAGCACCAGTTCCGCCTTCTTATCCTCTGCCTTCAGACAGTTGGAAATATCACCAGTCACCACCGCGGAAGTGGAAGCCAGGCCAGCCACCGGGACATCTATAGCTGGAATCTGCAGTGCTTGGGCAAAGGTTGCATTAAGATTGTAAAACCTGCGATCATTACTGCCTGGAGTGGGAAACGTGCCAGGCTTTGCCCATTTAAATTTGAGCACCTCCATAAATAAATCAGGAGTAGGAATCTTTTCAACGTGTGGCTTATGAAAGGGTCCCTTCTTGGTCCCCCCACTGGAGTTGGAGGCAACAGCTGCTTGAGAAGGGGCTGGGGTGCTGTCCAGATCTGCAGTAGCCCTGGCCTCGCGAAGCAGGGAACCAAACAAGGTGGGAGGAAACAAGCCAGCAATAGCAGGGGCCTCTGGAACCTGGGAATCTTCGTCCTCAGAGAAGGCTATGTCCTTCTGCCCCCCTTCTTTCAATCCAGACCCCTCATTAGCCGTGGAAGGGGAATCCGATCTACATTCTCTAGCTGCAGAAGATTGGGGTTCTCTGGATGACCTCGTGGGGTCCCATGAGAAGATTTTCATCTAGAGACTTGAAATTGATGCTGCATGCCCGATGAGATGCCCTGAGCAATGGCACGGGCAATCACATTCTGAAAACCTTCAGAAAGCTCTGGATAAGCTGGCGAGAGGCTAGGGAGCTCTGCAGATTGAGGAGCAAAGCGTGGCCTGGAGGAAACAGCTGCCCTGTGCCAAAGGGGTCTCCCCGATGTCCTGAAGACTGGGCAGGAGACAGAGGAGGGGATGGGGGCTAACTCCCCTCGCAGAGCCACGTGGGGAACCAGGAGAACCCAGTTGGACTTCTGGCAAGGGTAAAGGCCGGAGTGGAGAGCATAACCTGGATGGGGAAGGGCTGATTTCCTCCTTGATCCTCCTACCAGCCACCCTGGTGATGCAGGGCTCCTTGCTAGGCATTCTCCTCCTAGCAGATTTAGAGGTGGCCTTTATTGAGGTAGACCTCTCCATCGTTACGAGGGTAGTTCCACGGGAGGTCCCCTCGCCCGGAACTGAATCCCCTGGTGACCTAGGGGCAGCCGCCCCCCCACTCCTCGTAGCATCCACCATCGCTTTACTCACGGTTGTTGCCTTCCTACTTCCTCTCATGCTGCCAACCGGCATGAGCTTCTGCATGCAGTCGAGACTCCTTCAGACCGGCGCTACCCCCAACCACACCGCCGATCTGCGGCCTGAAGAGGCCAACCCACCGCCAAACCAAAGGATCACCGGCGGAGCACAGGCCCGAAGAATCTTCACCAATCCCGGCGGTGGTCCTGGGCGCTTGCGGCAGCTGCAAACAAGCACGCCAATCTCCGCGCCTCTCCACGTACGTCCCAAGATGGACGCCGTCTAAGATGGTGACTGCCGACCATGCAGTCCGATTGCGAACCGGCTCTAACCGAGCCGCTCCCTCAGAAACCTCCTGAGCACTCCACAACCCCCTCCAATGGAACCAGGGGTTGCGCAGACACGCGGCCTGGAGCCTCCCATTT